GTACCTACAGTTAGCAAGGATCCGCGTCCGAATCCTAGGATACGGCAACGGATCCTGAGTTTTTTTTTTTTTTTTTAAAGTCGTGGGGCCCACTTTTCTGTGTCAGCTATAGATAACATTATCTACGGCTGCTGCAGAAATGTTAAGCCCATATATATATATATATATATATATATAAAATGTTGGTGGAACTCAAAAATTTCTTGCACACTTTTCCAAATGAACTCCCCTTTGCATCCATCATGGCTGGGCCATGATTGGCAACATCCCATGTGAAATGTGACTTCTGTTTTCAAAAGCTTAATTTGAGAGCATTACGGTCGTCCTCGGCTTACACAGACACATGATGTTGTCTAATGCTCACAAAGTTTTAGCACTTTCTAGCAAAAAAGATTATGGGTAATCAAAATTTTAGGGTTTTAAGGTTTCGTTATCAGTGTCCTGATAACACTGATTAATTAATTAATTGACATCTTCTCTTAAATAATGGTTTTTTTACCATTATAACCCTTTATTAATAATTAATTATCAAATTGATCTTCATTATAAACTATTTCAAAAATTTAACCTCCTTATAAAACATAACACCAATATGTCTCTGTTTGACCGTTGACCACCAAGCCTACCCGGGTACACCCCTCCTTACCCGGGTATATTTTGAAATTTTATACCTACCTGGGTAGGAGGGGTGTACCCGGGTATATTTCTTGAGATCTGAAAAATTGTTTGAACTATTTACCCGAATAGGAAGTGGTGTACCTGGATAAATCTCGTGTGTATCTCTTTCCTAAAACTCCACTAAATTAAACTCCACTTCCTCACCTGTTCTCAAAATCAAGGTCCTTTCGATGGCAACAAGATCTCATTCCAACCACAAGTATACCAATCGACTTGCTTCCGAGCAAAGCTCTTATCTTCTTCAACACGCTCATAACCCAGTAAGTCCCTTATTTTATTATTCTCACGTTCCTCACAATATTGCTTCTTTTTCATTTTTCACTCATAATCCATTATTTTTTAGGTTGATTGGTATCCATGGGGTGAAGAAGCTTTCGCCGAAGCACGCAAGCGAGATGCACCTATCTTCTTATCAAGTAATTGAAAAATCTGTTTTGATTCCTTTTTGTTCTTCATTTATTTTTTTTTTGGGGAATTTTGTTTTATGTAATTAACTGCTGCTTGGTGTGTGATATTAATGGCGACTCAATTCGAAGGTGGGTACAGCAATTTACCCGGGTACACCAGTTTCTACCCGGGTAAATAATTCAAACAATTTTTTAGATCTCAAGAAATATACTCGGGTACATCCTTTCCTACCCGGGTAGGTATAAAATTTCAAAATATACCCGGGTAGGGAGGGGTGTACCCGGGTAAACTTGGTGGTCAACGGTCAAACATGGGCAGATTGATGTTATGTTTTTTAAGGAGGTTAAATTTTTGAAATAGTTTAAAATAAAGGTCAATTTGATAATTAATTATTAATAAAGAGTTATAAGGGTTTAAAAGCCCTTAAATAATGATTGAGAATATAAAATATATTAATCCATTTACACATCTCTCGAGTTAGAAGGTATATATCATGAGTCATGAAACACGCAACTTGGCAACAACGAAAGCTACAATGTGGGAAGGTGGTCATGATTTAGTCCCTGATTCATGTGAGTTTATAATTCTTTCAAATCATATGGTCATCCATTATTGAAAGTTTTTACAAGCATTGAAAAACATTATTAATTATCTTTAATTTTAAGAAAATTAAATATAACTATGCATATTTTTACACAAGGAATTCAAGTTTTTATTCTTGAGAATAAGATAATCTCTTTACATATATAAAGGAGAAGGATATTGTGACAACTAAGTTGTGTTACTACCAAATGACTACCAATTAATCTCATCATTAGATCGATTATGTTAATCCAACGGTTATATTTATTTTCATTTTTGTAGGATTATGATTTCCCATATTTAAAGTGAAAGCATTAAATATGAGAAATCATAACCATACAAAGGTGAAAATAAATATAAAGTATTAAATTAAATTTGAGAAACCATGACCATACAAAGATGGAAATAAATATAACCGTTGGATCAACATAATCGATCTAACGGTGAGATTAATTGGTAGTCACTTGGTAGTAACACAACTTGGTTGTCACAATATCCTTCCCCATGTGTATTCTTCTTCTTTTTATAATATATATATATATATATATATATATATATATATATATATATATATATATTTGCACACCACCTTTCATCTCTATCTTCTTCTCTTTAATTAACTCTTCAATTAAATGATATTTCTCACTTTTAATGTTATCCATGGTTGGGGAATTCCACATGAAATTTAAATTGTTAAATTAAAACAAATTAAACAAGCTGAATTCACCCTATTTCAAGCTATATATGTCTAAGTTGCTTCGTTAATTTTTAATTTAAAATTATTATGTGTATATATTATTTATATGATGAATTAGGATTATTTTATATCATGTAAGTTATACTATTTATTTTTATTTCGATTCTATTTACATCTAATAATTCTAATTTATTAATTATAAAAGTCATTAAATAAATAACTAATAACTAAAAATACTTCTTAATTTTATATCTGAATAAAAATAATATATCTCTTATTATAACATATATTTCAAATTAGTTGTAACTTGTAACTGTATCTTTGAATCCTATCATTTACTACGACTCATCATTCAGATTCAAAAATTTATTTGATAATTCATGATTTAAATTATAATCTAATAAACTTGCATGCCACAGTCTAAAATTATTAATATGTCTTGGTTCATAATTAAATCTTAAACTTGCATTCTCTACCAGAACATAGAAAAACATATTCAAGATTTGACTTGGAAATTCATAATTAAATCACAAAGATTTAGATTCAGGCATGGTTCCTTCCTGGTTAAGTTGGCTTGCTTAAAATATGTCTATAACTCTCCTTAAGAGTCATAACTCATGACTTGTGTCATTTCTTCCCTTTTCTTAACATTTATTTCTTAGTTTTTTTTTTTTTTTTGCTTCCAATTGTTTTCTCTTTCTCTTTTTTTTTTCTCAAACGAAACATAGTTTTTTTTCTCTCTCTCTTTTGTTTTCTGAGTTTATAAAAAAATAAAATAAAAATTTTTAGTTTGAGGACAATCGGCCGGCCTACGTGGGCCTACGGCTCGGCCTACGTCAAACTTGACCTAGTATATTTCATAAAATAGGTCGGGCTTGGGCCTTGAAAAAACTTGTTCAATAAATAGGTCGTAGACCCACTTTCACAAGGCCTGACCTATAAGCCTACAGGCCGACCTATATTGTACTATTTATTTTAAATAAAATAAAATAGAATAAGTATGCCTTAAAGAAAAAAACAAAAGATATAAATTTAATCAATTGCAATTATTTATAACTCAATTATATTCAATTATTTTTTAATAGAAATTTGACTATATTTCTTATGTAGGAGGAATCAATATCTCAACATGTTAGATTGTGTATATGAATATATTAAGAGGTTTTTTGGAGAGGTTATACTTACTACAAGCATCATGATCTGTTTGTTGGATTCATATAGTTATTTTAATTTACATAGTATGAATTTGTTTGTTGGATCTGATGAAATATATGCTATTTAGTTTGAGCATTTTGCTTTTGAAAGTGACTTAAATGTAGATTGTGATGAGTTTTTATTGTGATTCATGATTCTATTTGGACGTTGAAATTGTGATTTTTGGTTTAGCAACAGAATTTGTTTGAGTATTTTGTGAAGTTGATTCATGGTGCTGCTTGAAAATTAAAAATTAACAGGCTAACGAGTTAGGCCATGCAATTTATTTTTTTATAACGGGACAAGTCATACTAACAGTTAAACTTGTACTAGGTTTGGGCCAGACTGATTTGAAATTTTTTTGAATAGGCTTGAACTTTTCAGGATAAAGCTTGACCCAATCCAGCCCACTTTTATTCCTAACTGTCGGCATATTGTGTGTTATTTTCTCATTATACATAAGAAAAATTTAAGTAAAAATTTGAGTCGAATATGTTAGACGGTTGACCCATTTAGTTTGTGCATAATAATGATAATAATAATAATAAAATTTAATGTTTGTCGTAAGATAAATATATTTTTTACTCATATATTTATATTTACTCATATATAAAAATATATGGATTCTATATGATGAGCTCATGTAAGGAGTAGAGAGAAATAGAAAATATGAACTACACATATTTTTATATATATGTAGTAAAAATTATCTTGTATAATATGAGAAATATTAAATACATAATAATAATAATAATAATAGAATCATCATATTATCTATCTATTTAATTTTTCTACAGTTACTACCTTTTAATTATCGTCAGAATTAATTTTCTTACATTAAATTTAAATCAACAGTCGAAAGATATAAATTTTTTTATTTTATTTCTAGAGGGATTTTTCTCAACTAATTACATTATTTGTTTATCTTTTTCCACCATTAGTTTAAATTTAATTTAACCTTAATAAATAATAAGGATAAAAAATTAAATAGATTGACTATATAATTGTTTGTCCCCTAATAATAATAATAAGGGTTTTACTATCTTATGTTGTGAGATAAATTAAGTGGAGTCCATCAATTTTAAAAAAAAGAAAAAGAAAAGAAAAGAGATGCACATCTTTTTATGTGAGTGTAAAATAAGAGAGTAATCTTATGCAACATAAGAGTATAATTTCCCTAATAATAATGTTATTTCTAATATTTAATGCTTTCACTTTAAATATGGGGAATCATGACCATACAAAGATGAAAATAAATATAACTGTTGGATCAACATAATCGATCTAACGATGAGATTGATTGGTAGTCACTTGATTGTAACACAACTTTGTTGTCACAATATCATTCTCCGTAAATAATAATAATAATAATAATAATGTTATTCCTATCAGTATATAAAGTAAAAATTGGTTGTGTAAGTAAAAGAGCACTCAGCACAGTCTGTCTTCGAAAAACGCCTCAAACAGAGAGGAGGGGGGCGAAAGATGCGTTATACGTTTTAGAGAGAGAAACAGACTCTGAATTGTAACTGTCTTCTCTTCTTCTCTCAGATCTTGCAAAAACCCTATAATATCAATATCAATAACCATAACAAGCTTCATGTAATTCTTTTCTTTTTTCTTCTTCTTCTTCTTCTCTTCTTCTTTCTCTTCTCTTCTGTGGTGCTTCAAGATTCTTTTCCCTTTCTCACCGTACTTCGCTCCCACCTCCATTTTCATCTTCTTTTTCTCTCATTTTCCGTTTGTTTCCCGGAAAAATCTGCAACCGAATCTATTCTTTCCGTTTTGGTTCTTTCTAGCGCTGTCAAGCCGTTTCTTGCTCTGTCTTTGTACCGGTTAGGTGCTCCTCCTTCCCGCATTTTTTGAGTTGATTGGCGTTTCCGCTTTGTTTGGATTTTTCACAGTGGGATTTTCCGGGAAACTGAGTTTTTCCCGGAAAAATAATGGATGATAGAGGTGGTTCGTTCGTCGCTGTTAGGAGGATTTCGCAGGGTCTTGACCGAGGCAACGCATGCAATTCAACTTCTGGTAAAAAAAATAAAAACAAAATTCAATTTTTCTAACTAAGTTTTCTTGTGATTTTCTCGACTTTCTCTCTCCGTAACGTTTGAATCTTTGAATCGAGATTGAACTCGGGCTTTTTTACTTGCGTGTTGTTTGCGGATATTCAAAATTGCGTTTGTGAATGAATTCATACAGTTACTGTTTTTTAATTTGGTTTTTTTTATTTTTCCCCTTTCTTTTGATTTGGTGGAGTTGAGCTAGCTAGAGATCTCTATCGAGCTCAGTCGACCATGGAAGATGTTGATGTTAGCGTTAAAAGCTGTTTATTATGCTTATTTTTTAGGTACTATCTGTGATGGGGTTATCTCGTAGATCTAGCATTCATGAAATGCAACTTTAATCATATATATTGGAAAATGCAGATACTTTTTATTTTTGCGTGAAGCAGAGCTCTACTGATTAAATGCAGAAAAGTTGAAAATTGTAATTAAAGCAAGCTATTGGCTAGCAGTATGATTGAAACAAAGCCAGTGTCTAGCATAATGATTGAAGCAAAGCCCACTCTACTCTGTGGTTATATTTGCTTACTTGGCCATATTCTTTTTACTTCGCCTCAGCTTTGAGATAAAAAATAAAAATGAAATCTAGAGTAATAGAAATCTAAATATTTTTCAAGCGAGACATCATTTAGAATGCAATAAAAAATGAAAGAGGGGTGAGATAAACAATGAGTCTAATTGCCGTTCAAATAGTATGAGTGCTTTTAGAAACCGAGTTTAACAAAAGCTATGATGTACTCAGGATAATTACTGACTAATAAAACATGATTTCTGCCGATTAAATTGTTATAATTTGTAGCAACAAAACTGGAAGCTCGATCTTCATTTATGGGAAGTTTTATTTTGTTACAGCTGAGTTTGTGACAGGATCAACCGCATGGCTTGGCCGAGGTCTGTCTTGTGTCTGTGCACAGAGAAGAGAGAGTGATGCTCGACCCTCTTTTGATTTAACTCTAGCTCAGGTAATACTTTGTGATTTAATTATTGAAGCAGCCGCTTGATACTCCTTAAGTGATTCTGTTATTTTTCTATTGGCATCTTCCTGCAAACAAATAATAATAATAGTAATAAATGGAATCTTATAATAATGTGACATTTGTAGAAAGATGCTTAATTTTTTTAATGACATGAGCATCTTCTAAACTATTTTCAACAACAACAAAAAACAAAACAAAAGCCTTTTCTAGACTATATGGAATAGACACATATTGAGTTATGTATTTATGTTGACAGATCTACCTTCTTACCAAATAAAAAAAGGTTTCCAATTGTATTCCTGGCTATGTGCTCGTTGTCTTGTTTCTGGATATTTTCATACATGTTGGAAATTTTTGTAGTTATGTGCAACTTATAGCTTCCTCTGAATTTGTAATAGCTGCCATGATACCCATGGTTTTACAAGGTTGGGTTTTTTTGTTTACTTTTTTATGTTTGCTCGTGTTGTATACCTTCTGAGTTCAATATAATATGTCCCTCTCTACTTATTCTTTCAATAAAATATTGTTTATAATTATAGCACAACAAATTCTCAATGCTGAATTTTCAATTCTCAGGAGGAATGTTTGCAGAAGCTACAGAGTCGTATAGATGTTCCGTATGATAGTTCTATCCCTGAGCACCAGGTATCATTTGTATTAATGTTTTTCAAGTCTCTGTAAGTGATGTGACAGTTACTATGAAGTCTTCCAAAGACTTCAACCCATGTTCCCATAGCTTTATGTGCTTCCTATGGTTTATTACCATGTGCACAATCTTGGATCTCTTAAGAATGTAATTTAGATTTGTTTTTGATGCATTATCTCAGGATGCCCTAAGAGCTTTATGGAATGCTTCATTTCCTGAAGAAGAACTCAGTGGATTGATTTCTGAGCAGTGGAAGGACATGGGCTGGCAAGGAAAGGATCCATCAACAGATTTTAGGTAGATATTATTCTGGTTGTTTTCATCTAATGCCATATATTTTCTTCATTATAACTGCTTGTTGGTAATGATTTCTCTTTGTATATATTTGGTAGGGGTGGTGGTTTTATATCATTGGAGAACTTGCTGTTTTTTGCTAGGAATTTCCCGGTATGATATGTTTCTCTTTTTTTGTTCACTCTTTCTGGTGTTGTAATGAACATTTTGGAGCCTTAGTTTTGACTTAGGTTGGCCAAATCTAATTTTTAGATTTAGAATGTTATGAATAAAGCTCCTTTGAATGCCCAAAGAGATTAACAAAGCGGTCATTTTAGTATTTCTTAATAATATGCCTTAAATGCTTAGATTCATCAACATATAATTTTCTAAAATATGGTTTGTCCTCTTTTTCATGCTCATAACCCTAGCTCCTTGCATACTTTCACTTTTTTGGTGTTGAAGTCTTGAAGCATAGACTGCATTTTTCATTTGTAATGACTGGTTGTTTAGTTTGTTTCTTTTAGGGATAGTTATGTATTAGAAACATGGCTGTGATCTTTCAGGTTTTACTAAGACACATTTTTTTAATTTCAGTGAGACCCTTGTCCCTCCAGGGCTAGTCTCTTCATGATAAAACTTAAAACTTTTCGTTTTGTAGAAATCCTTTCAGGATCTTTTACGGAAGCAGGAAGGAGACCGATCAGTGTGGGAATACCCATTTGCTGTTGCTGGTGTTAACATTACATTCATGCTTATTCAGATGCTCGATCTTGAAGCAGGTTTATTAGTTCTCCTGCTATTAAATTTTCTAGTCTGAGCATATATCATGTTTCTGCCTATTGGACTGTGAGGATATGTCAATTTTGTAAAGCACTTCGAACTTTCTACTTAAAGGGCCCATTGAATGTTATATGACATAAATATGCGTATTTTATTTTACCATTTTCTTTTGCATGCTTCAGTATTGCAACAGATACGACTGATCATTATTTGAATGGTTGTTGGTGCCATATTGTAATTCTAACGGATTAGATGTGCCCACCCTACATAATGTGTTTACTTTATTTGAAATAATAGGAGAAGTTTGCCATTCCAATCTAACTCTTACGTTCTCTCCCCACTTCTTAGCATTATTATAAAAAAAAAAAATCATATTATAGAAGTTGTTTTTAAAATTTTTAAAAAGAAATGATATTGCTAGGTCCTTGTGTTTTAATAAATTTTTGTTTTCTCTTGATTCATGCAACATCGGTCCACTATCTTGTTACCAACCTTATAATATTTTCAATTATATTTTCTGATGTGAGATATCATGAGTTTGCATGATATTTAATGCAGGCTGCTGCATGATAGATGTCTTTCATAAGTAATGAATTGAATTCTATGTACCAAAAAAAAAAAAAAATGAATTGAATTCGATTATGATGTTATCTGTTAATAATGTTATTTGCCTTGACAGTCAAGCCACGGACACTGGTGGGAGCAACCTTCCTAAAATTTCTTGCAGGTGATTTTTATTGTTCTCTGCATTATTCTTTTAATTTTATTTTTTATTTTATTTTTTTTTTCGCTTTGGAAGGGAAGCAGAAAGGTTGGGACTTAACCATAACAAAATTGAAAATGCTAAATATTATGATAAGTGATTTGTAAGTTTGTTATGAAGGCTTTTGTAAGGAGCATTTTTCTTCCACTACCTATTTATTTCGTCTTTTTCTCTAACTGTTTTACTTTTTATCTCACCTGATTGGTGCCACATCATTCATAATAGATTTGTGAAAAATCTTTGGTACCACATGGCATTGCTCTAAGAAAACACTTGTGATTACAAGATTATTGCTTTTACCTAGATAGTGGGAGTTGTCATTGTATATTAACTTGCTGTTTCAAGTAACTAAATTAATTTATGGATGTCTGACAGAAAACGAAACAGCTTTTGATCTTCTCTATTGCATAACATTCAAGCTGATGGATCATCAATGGCTTTCTATGCGTGCCTCATACATGGATTTTAACGTATGTATTCTTTATCCCGAGTTTGTTCTGCAGAGATAGGGAAAAATTATGGCACTAGCAAATTTAATTAAAATATAGAATCTTCATAAGATTGCTAGCGATTATCTTTGCTTATATTTATACCTATATTACTTATGTTATAACAGACAGTGATGAAATCTACACGCCGTCAGCTAGAGAAAGAGCTTCTGCTTGAAGACATAACACGGCTAGAAGATGTACCCTCATACAGACTTCTCACCCGATAGATATCAGTGCCTAGTCTGTCAGTCTACTAGTTCTATCTAGAAGGTTGTTGTACTTGATGTGATGCTCGATTTCCATTCCTTGCAATTCAGCATTTAACCTTCTAACGTCTGAGTAAGACTGAGGCGAGCCCAAGTATGATTTCATCAAGGTTCTGGAGGCTGCAGTTAAGCTTTTAATCTAGTTGGAGGATGATATTGTTAGCAGACAACTGCCATGGGAGTCTGAAATGTAGGTTTTCTTGGTACCAAAAAAGATTAGATTGTAATGAATTGTGGTTTGCCTATATATTTCCATGACGTCCATTAATGGGCAAATACAGCTTGCAGTATTGTAGTTCAGGTAGGTGTGCTTAAGTTAGTAGCAGCAGCATCTGCCTGGCCTTGTTTGTGAAGGAATTAATACTGCATATTTGTTTGAGTAAAAGATTCAATGTTTGAGCTGATGAATAGTATTCTAACTACTCTATTTTTGGTAAAAGTATTTTTTTTATTTATTTCATACATGCTTTTCAATCTTCATATGGCATCGATTTATTATCCTGCCCTGATGTTCTATTGAACTACTCGTCTTGAATTCAATTGGCCATTTTACAGTTCCAAATTTTTGCTTTGCTTTTCGAAGAATTCATAATAGTTATCACTACTTAGTCTAGAAGTTTTAATTTAATAAGAGCTGTGCCTGAGCTACTTGGGTTCATGACGAAAATACTGCAAAATCAAACAAGATGTCTCCGCTTGAAATGGTCACCGACTTATATCCTGACCTCTCCAATGCATAATGTGCACATACCAAATACTATACTAGAAGAATGTGATTTTGTGGGCGACAGTGGTAGGCATGAGGGATATCGATGTTTCTCTCAAGCGACTAAAAAAATGCTTGTGCTAAGGTATGTCACTTTAGATGAAAATCACTACTTTAATTCTCAAGATGCTAAATTGAAGATTGCAATTAAGTGTCTAGTTCTGTATCTCCCACGCAAATCCGATAAATTCTTGGAATATTATTCATCATAACGAAAATGATCCTACTACTATAAGTCAGATGAAGGAACGTGGCAAATAACAAAGAAACTGTATATATAGTTATGAATCTGAAATAGAGAACAGACAGTAGGAAACCAGCTACGTCGTTCAAGTAGAGTCCCACAGTCATGATGTTATCTCATTAAAGACTTGTCATTATCAAATGAAGTTACACCGGGTCATCATTCAGTGGTCTCTTTGCAAGAGACTTAGAGCCTCACTCCTTTGATAAATGCAGTCAAGGATCCAAAGTGGATTTCAGCCATGAATGAAGAAAAGAAAGCTCTTATTTTTTTATTTTATTTTTAAAAAAACACACACACATACACACACAAACCAAGTTTTACCATTGAAAGGTTAAAACTATTCAAGAGAAATTGCTGGACATATATAATATATATAACCGTATAATTTTCCCCTCCTACACAAAGCATGTTTTTCATCAACAAAATTTGGCTCCACGTTAATGTTAATAATAAATATGGGAAAAATGTTTGTCCTTTTAAATGACACAACTTATATCCTTTCACTCTCACAAAGAGATGAGACCCACACCTTTATATTTTTTTGTCCACTTTCTCTTCGTTTATCTCTCTTTCTCTCACTTAAAATGACACAACTTTACGTCCTTTAAAATGATATACAATTTTTTCTCAATAAATATATAAACATAAAGAGCTTCCTGAAAAATGACATGATTGAGTTCATCTTTGAAGCAAAGTGAACTTTGTAACAAGTACACGGCAATATCTTATAATCAAAGATTGTCTTAATTTAAGTTCATAAATGCATGTTGATCATTGAAAACGGCATAGCATTTTTTTTTTCTTAATCAGTAATGGAGTGACCTGTTAGAAAGAGGTAAAGCATTCATGGTCCGATGAATTTGAGTCGTCACTAGGGAAGTGATTATGTCTACCTTCATAGGTGGTTATTACCATACGACAATCCTCTGACAGTCGTTCAACCCTCTTCTTCACCCTACAGTTGCTATAGGTGCAGCGGTAGTAACTTCTGCCATATCACAAAATTGAGATGAGATTGATAAATAAATAAGAGTAAATGGAATAAGGGAAACCTTTGAAAGGACACAAGCTTCTTCTGTACTTTTAGATGATTTATATAAAGTCTAACCGGTAAGACTTTGTGTAAATCTGAAAAATTACTTTTTTTTTTCTCTCTTCTCAGTCACATCGCTCACGTGTAAAGTAAAAAAAAATAACTTTACACAAGTCTTATCAGTCAGACTTTGTGTAAGTCACTAAAAAAACACAACTTGTGTCCTTTTAAAGGATATCCACTTAACCCATGGAATAATTCCAAAAATTAGTTTAATATCACTTTTCATTGTCAAATTAATCCTTAAATTGACGTCAATTTGATGATAAAATTATTGGCATTAATTATTAATTATTAAATAACCAATTTGATTTTTTGTGTAACAAGCACTAACATCATGCAAGTTTAATGTGATCATAATCAATTCATAAAGAAATATATGTGAGTGCAATTTAACAAAAGTGAAGAATAATAGGCGTAATAAGCACTAATTAACTTCATGCAAGTTCAATGTGCAATCACCCCTTAAATAAATTATATCTTAAGAGATTGACAACAATGTTATATATAAGAAAATAACTTTTTTATAGTATGATTTTCTCACAAATTTTATTATTAAATTCAAAACTTATATCATATGTTACGAAATTCCACTTTAATCAAACATATTTATAACCAAAATGTCATAAAATTAATGCATAATATACACTTAAAATATTAAAATGGTAATAATTTTTATCATACAATTATCATTCTTTAACCATTTAAAATTAGGCATGTAACACAATTGCTAACCATCACACTTTATTTTAAACAAAAATAAAATAAAATCTTTTTTTATACATAAATCCTTTTTTATAATTAGTCTTAAGGATACTCTAAAAACTTGAGATTATTATATTTTTAATAAAAAAAACAAATAAATTTTACAGGCATTTAAGCCATCCCAAGAAACACAACTCTAACTAAATAGGCTTAAACCAAAAGTGAGATGGTAAAGAATCAATTCAACCCAAAAGTTTAAGCTATTAGGTGAGGCTACATTAGTGATTTTATATATCTCTAACACGATCTCTCACAAAAGAGCCAGTTGGACTTGAAAGATAGATAACGCATCAGTAGAGGTGGCAAAGTGGGCGGCCCGCCCCGCCATCAACTCGCCAAAAAATGAGCCAGCCCGCCCCGCTCCGCTTTTGAAAGTGGGCTGAAAAACTCAGCCCGCCCCGCTCCGTTTGGCGAGTTGGGCGGGTTGACCCGCCAGCTCGAGCTTATTTTACACTGACCCCCCCCTCGGCCCGCCTATGCCCGCCATCAACCCGCCCAAAAATGAACCCGCCCCGCCCCGCCTCGCTTTTCAGCTCTACACATCAGGCTCAATTTATCTGTGCTAAGAAATTTCACAAAGAAAATGAGGGCTAGCAAGGATCAAACATGGGACATCGAGACTCTAGTACCATGTAAAAAATCAATTCAACTTAAAAACTTAAGATGTTGGATGACACTACATTAATGATTTTATATATTGTGATTTTAAAATATTTTTATCATTGATTTGTACAAAGTTATACAAATTTCTTATAGCGAGACACAAGCTTCTCCTATTACAACTCCTCTCTTTATTTCCAATAAAAATAACCAAGTTTGGTACTGCATCTCTTGATCATAAAAGTTCTCGGTTGTTAAACACTAAGTCCCATCATCATATATATATTGGAAAAGTTTTCTGCACCCAGTTCATGAACCTTTGTTCCTGAAGTCATTTCAATAACTTTCCCATCATCCTAATTGCACTTCTAAGTACATAACTTTAAGCGCAATCTTATAATGATGATATGTAACGGAAGTTGAGCTTTCTTAGTTTCAGGATAATGGATATACCACTTTGACCTTTTTGCATTATTGTTCCAAAGTACCTCAAGTAAAATTATTCATCTGTCCCCTCCCATGCACCCAACGGGGAGGCCAAAACCCTTTATAAAAAGAATTTAGTGGATTGACATCACGTCTAAATCTAAAATCATAAAACTATGTATCTTTTTCACTTACGAGGCTTTGATATCAGAGTTTAGAATGGCACATGAGAGCCGAAAACTCTTAACAACGAAAATCTTCACTAATGGACCAAATAACAAATCACGATAAGTGGGCTGATACCACATCTTAACTCAAAATCTTAAAATTGTAAGTCTATGGGTCTTTTGCACTTATATGATCTTCATTTGATCTAAGTCTAGCTTACGTAGGACTTACTTCATCACTACTCATTCACACTTGATTATTTTCAACATTCTCCGCTCAAGTATGAGGCCCAACAACAGGGTTAACATGTTTTCCTATCTATAAATTATTATTTCCTCTTCGGATTAAGTTATAGTTTAAAATTTCATCATGCTACCGCCTTTTTTTTTTTAAGTAATTGATAGTAGTTTTGATGAAAACTGGTGATTTATTTTGTTGATGATTTACGAAAATAAAACTGAAAAGCAGTGGTTGTGTCGCTTGAAATTTTAAAACATACATGTAGGTATGCCACGCCTAAAACTCAGCAAAATTAGAGTTTCGTACGTAAGTGCTGAAAATTATGGAACAAGGCCATCCACGTAGCACTAGATTTTCCTGCCAATTTGTTCTTATAATCCTTATAGAGGAGGGAACTGAGAAAAGGTGCAAGGAAAAGCTAATAAGCACTGGGTTACTTAACAATAAGATTTTTCCTCTTTTAAAATTTTTATTTTACTTTATTAAGACCTCTTGTAAACGGATGCATTTAATGTATGAGTAATCTATTTACCTTCTATATCAAAGCCTAAAACTTGTCTAGATCACCACATTTTTAGAAAGATCCCGTTATGTTTCAATTGGCGCAGTCACACCTAGAACACTGCTTTTTCTTTTACCGTACCTGTAAGTGATGTTGGAACTAACTTAGTCAATTCTTAGCTTTTATATACCCTTAATATATAGCATTAAGGCACATGTCAATAACTGTTTGATTTCCTTTTATAGGATAAAACTTAGGTAAAATTTTTATGATGATGTAACTGAAAAATAATATGTGTTGTTTTTAATGGAGAACATCACTACAAGCGCATAATTAAAGGACTTTATCAAATTTTTGTCTTACAACTTAACATCATCCACAATATATTATGTCAATTGTGACTTAATAAAATTTTATTATCCTAAAACTTGGATTTATGTCGATTATTGTTAAAAAAAAAAAAAAAGATTGAAACTCCGACAGACTACTTTCAATTCAATTAAAAAGTGACGATATGACAAACATTGAGAGGAAAATGACATATTTCCCTCAGATGTACATGCATGTAAAGAAATTGTGAGAACTTTGTATGTTATTACTGTATTTGAATGGAGAGTCCATGCACGAAACCAATAAATCATTTAGATTAAAAGTAATAATAGTAAATGATCTAATATTAATACCAAACTAGAAAAGAAGGAATGTAATAGAAACAATTAAATATGATTGTAAGGTTTCTTAGATGAAAATAAACATACGATTTGGAAAAACATAGATAAATGATTTTGAGTTACAAGGAAAAACTTTACGTTCAAGTGCGACCTTTTTCAGAGATAGATGAATGTGTGGGAGCTAGAAGTTTGTCATAGAAATACCATGACAAACTGGATGGTTTTGAAGTAGAGTACGAAAGAGGGGACCCTATATATACTGCACCTTATATATTGTCAAAACTCTAATAATAACCCACACCAAATATACTCGGTGATATATCTATCCTTATTTGTTTTCTTCCCCCTTATCAATTTTGATTTGAAGTTAAAGCCGAAGGCTCTTTATGTACCAACAATCTTCTCTCTTCAGCCTTTCATATAGTATTGGAAGAAATGGTATATCTTGAATGAGAAATTAAATTTTCCTTATAATACGCTATGGATTCCCCCTCTTTCATTTGTCTCCGTGTGTTAATAATCTTTCATATATGTCTTTTTCTTTTTTTTTGAAAAGAAAAATCCAAGATAAATAACTATAATCTTGTGACTTGAGTTGTGACTATTTGATTGAATTATTCACTACCGACACACATTTTCTAAAAAGGACATTTTACCTTCATTCTTCCGGGAATAATGCCTACGATGTTGCCAGTGTACTCAAAGATACAGTTAACTTATGCATTTCATAGATAGTTTTGCACACCAAAATAAAGTAGGAAAATATTATCCGAATAGACAGCAATAATTTCTCTAATTTTTACGGGTTTCAGCATCTTGATTAGTTTATAGTTTTCTTTTCATCTCTCCCTCCCTTCTTTAACGTTTTGTAATTAATATTATGCTTCAATAATCCTAATTATGGCTTCCAATTTATCCAAAACAAATGCTGCTTTAAATTCAGTTTTGCATATATATCAATAAATCAGAAAGGGGTTAATCAGGATTACCTTGGATGAAGGCTATTCTTGACAACTTTCTGGCCATATTTCCTCCATTTGTAACCATCATCAAGCACATCTACATCACTTCTTGTTTGGAAACAAAACCTTGGTTCTCTAAGCTTCCTCCTTGTTTTCACCTTGCTCTTCTCTGTAGCTCCACTCCTCCACCTACCACAATTAATACGTACAATAAATAATATAATTATACTTTAAAATATTAATTCACCTACTTTCATCTCTGTTAATGATCTATCTTAAATTAGAACACGGTTAAGCCTTAAGATAAAAATAGAAAAAGTGATATGTTTGATAGAATATGCGAGTCAGTGATGCACTACTAGCTAGTGGATTCGAGTATCAATAAGTATCAAGACTTTTTGAGCCTTTGCCCTTGCTCCTCATAACCCAAGACACAAAAGAAGCAAACCCTTCCATATAATGGTTGTAGAGTATATATCATTCTTGTCGGAAGCCTAATGAACAGTAACTTCTTAATTAGGTATCTAAATAACTATTTACGTGCGTGCACTGTGTGTGTGAGAGTGACATGAGGGGAAACATAAAAATTGTAAATAGGGTAATGAAATTGAAGAAGGAAGAAGGATACCATGAGTTGTTGTCACCATCACTGGCATTTCCAGTGAAATTTTCATCGTTGCCAACTTTGGGATCCAGATTTCCCACCTAAAAGTTTATAGTACCATAAGCAAAATCGTTTTAAGGAAAAATGATGAAAAGAATACCCTAAAATCGAAAAGGACATAAGAAGAAAAAAAAAAAAACACAAAAGTAAATAAAATTCATAACAAATTATTATAAGGGTGAAGGTTATAGAAGTTTTAGTTCTTTTATTTATGAAGATTAATGAGCAGAAGAAGTACTCTCGAAGTGAACAACCTGGTCGTTATTCCAAGTTCTGGTGACAAGTTCGTTATGACTAAATCCGATGGTTGTGGTGGCGGCGGCGGTGCTGCCAGAGTTTAAGGATTGAGAGAGCTGAGAAGATTGAGATTGTGCTGAGGGTGACAAGAATCCAAGGACCTGATTTTCTTCAAATTGAACAAAACCCATTTCGTTCATGGCTTGTGGGGTGTTGGTGAATGAAACTTGAAGCTCGTAGTTTGGAACACCTCTCTCTCCTTCCATATCTCACTTTTGGATGATTCGAACTTAGATTCAACACACTAATTGGCTTCTTTTTTCTTTTCTTTTCTTTTTTGCTATTCTTCTTCTTAGTCTTCTTCCTAGCTAGCTAGCTATCTCTTCCTCGCGTGGAGAATACCTCAAGTTCTATTCCATGTGAACGTAAAGAACACAAAGAATGGGTAATATTTCAAGAGTCCGGGACAAGGGTTTTGTAGTTTGGTCAACGCGCTTCTATAAGTTTCTTGGAAATTATTCCTTTCCTTTTTCTTCTATGTATTCTATTCGGATCCAAGTATTGTACTTATTGTCTCTCTGTTGAATACACGTGCACATTATGTCCTCCAAACGTTTTCAAGGGAATCTGTCTCAATTGGTGCGAGATGAATGGAATCTGTAAAATTAATTATGTTAATTGCACTCTTAACACATAAAATGAATTAGTTCTGTAGTATATAGCTTTGGACTGCGATTTATTTTATGAATTTTTTTATTTTATTTTTGAAATATTCTAATTGGTTCATCACTTCACGACTAGTCCAATTCGAGGTGTAAACATGATTAAAGCTTTAAATTCCTCCCAAACTGAGAAGGATCGAATACATACTCTCACTCCCACCTGCTTAACTCCAATACGCCAACTGCACTATTACCATTTGATTTTTTTAGTAAAGTTTCAGTTAGCTAAATACAAGTTTATTATTTTAAGAGAGAGAGAGGACTACATTTTGTTATTTTGAAGGTTTTATTTCAGTTGCACCTTCCCTCTAATCCGCCATCTTGCTACTTGACTCAAATATTAATGGCAACTTCCCCTCCATCTAAACTTTCAATTGTAGACCATACCTAAGTGCACCATGTGTAGGAAATGCTATATTCTATTATATTAATTGAAACAAAAGGTGACGAGAATATACCTTAGAGGGGCGTTTGGTTCAGGAGAAAAAAATTTGAATACTAAGAAAATAGTGGAAAAGTATGTTTGGTAGGAAAATGTAAAAAAAGTTATTTGGTTCGAAAAAAAAATTATCGGAAAAATTAAGTAAAATTTATAAAGTCTATGTTTGGTTAGAGATAAAATATTGATGAAAAATGAGTTGCAATTACCAAAACAACCATTTTTATAAAAATTTTGAATCACCAAATAACCCTTTACCCATATTGAAAAGTGAGCTGTTAGTGTGCAATTATATTTGGTAGCAGATATCACTTTCAGCAATTAGATTAGGTGAGGGTATGTTCGTCAGAAAATTGTTACTTTTTGGAACATTTAGCTAGACAACTCAAAATACCTGCTCCAAAGTGGGATTGTGTTACATGTCTATTTAGTGCAATTTACATGCAAACATGGATGGTTGGGGGAATAATTTTGGTAGGAAAATATTGTAATCTGTTTAACCAAACATGGTATAACGAGATTCCCAAATTGCTAATGTCTATCTATCTTAGGAGATAGCTCGTACCAAACACAGCCTTATCGCATAAAACAAAAATTGCTACAATGTGATAGATCAGTGTAAAATGTATCAATTTTCATTAATTGAGTGTGAAATTTCAAAATTGGACCCGAACACTAAAATTGAAAAATGAAATTTCCTTTAACCAAAATACTTTTACTGTTGATTGGTAAGTATATTATAAAAAAAAACTTTTGTTATAAAATGTTATGAATTAAAGATGAATTATTTTATTTATTTGCTTACATATAACCATATATTCATGTCCAGTTATTTCTTAAATTAATAAAAATATTGAGATAAATTAAAACAGCAGGAAGGATACCTATAATTTGTCACTAAAAAATTGCTAAGTTATTAATAAATTAATATTTTGTATGACTTATCCTTCAAACATTCATTAGTTATGCATGTTTTCTTTGCCACTGTATATATGTCGTGTCCAACAATCATCTTCAGCTAATGCCTTAACTGGAGAATAGCTTAAATTTTTGTTGTCATTATGAAGTGGTACAAACACTTACAATATGCAATTTCTTGTCATTTTTATTAGCCGTTACTTACTGAACTACTTGTGCCATTCGTGGCTTCATACAGTTCATTCTGTTATGAAACGTAGTTTTCATCAAAATGATATGATCAAAGGATTGCAGATTTTTAAATTGCATGCGTGTTGTTTCAATGGAGATTGCTTATAGGAACAAAGAGATGCTAAAATGAGTTTTGAGATAGTGCTTCAAGATTTTAAAATGGCTAAGAGACACTTTGGAAGTGATTGCATGACCTCGTCAGGGGTAACGTCTCTCATTCCTAATTTAGTTTTTTTTTTTAATATCAATCATGATTACTATTTTGAGACAAATCGACCTCTGGATATTCTCATAATCTTCGATTTTTTAAGTTGACTATATAACTAATCCTGAGTCAGAAGTCAGTTAGAGTTAAAACTTTTTGAGTGACACTACTTGAAGCCTGTTGGCTTATATATACACCACTCAGCCACACCTATAAATAATGCGGCAGCATAAGAACATGACAAAACGAGTGTGGTATATGTCTATTGATAGTGTTATTATGTATTTTCTAAATCATGTTGGTACTTGTTTGTTTGCTATTGGGCCTAAAATATATCCTACTGTGTTTTTTGGTAAGGTCCACATATATTGATATCTGTTATATCAGCTGCATTAATAGATACGCTGCCGTTTTTGGTTAAGTTGAAATTGGTTGATATTATAATACCTATCCTTCATTTATCGCTGAGTCTCAGATTTTTCAGGGATAACGTGGCATTCATTTTGTGATTCCTTGAGTTCTTTTCTCTCTCTCTCTCTCGGTTCATTTCTTTTTCTCTAAACAAAAAGGGGAAACTTTGGGTTTGTGTCAAAACCTGTGAGGACGATTTGAGTGTGCAAACTTGTGAATCTCATCTCAAGGCTGTTGAGAAAGTTGTTCCTATTACAAAGATACATAGTTTGATCGGTTTACTTTCTGGAGATTCTTGCAAACGTTGGTGAGGAGGTGTTGCATCGTGGAGCTTTTCTTGGTTGAAGAAGAGGTTGTGAGCTCTCATGGAGTAATCCACGGTTTTGGTGGAGCTGGATGCATGATTGGTGAAATCTTTCCTTTACACGTCTTTAGTTTGCAAGTTCTTGTTTTTATATGTACTGTGATAGTGTACATGTGATGTATCTTTGTAGTTCTATTTTTCTTTCTCTGTTATATGCCTTGTATATGCTGTATTGGTAGAGTTACAAGTTTAGTATCTTGAACTCTTTGTACCTATTATCTGTTTCTGAATAAGAGTGCATGCTAGAGGGCGTTTGACCCTCACTGGCCAACTTGGATGTAGGAAATTCTTTTACAAAGAATTTCTGAACCAAGTATAAATTTCTGGTGTTGTTCTTTATGTTTTCCGTTTCTGTGAGTCAGTTTTCTGGGGTGATTCTTGGTAGCTCTATACCAAGAATTGTAACAAGTGGTATCAAGAGCTTAGGTTCTTGGTTCCTTTTTTCTTCTGGTTAGTATCTGTTTCTGTTCCGTGTTCTCTGTCTTTTTCCCTCTGGTCCTCGTGCTATCTGCTGTTGGAAGCTGAAGAGGATGGGTATCACCAAGGTTGAGGTGGAGAAGTTTGATGGGAGGGGTGACTTTAACATATGAAAGATCAAGATGATGGCTGTCTTGGTCCAACAGAAGTGTGAGGATGTTGTTGGTCCTGAAAAGGATCTTCCTAATTCCCTGACACCTAAGGAACTAAAAGACTTAATGGCTTTAGCTCATAGTCTAATTGTTGTAAATCTGTCTGATAGTGTCCTTAGGCGTGTTTGTAAGATAACTAATCCTAGAGAGCTTTGGGAAAAGCTTAAGGCTCTCTATCAAACTAAATCTGCCCCAAACAAGATGTTTTTGAAGGAGAAATTCTTTTCCTTCAAGATGGATCCTTCTAAGTGCCTGGAGGACAATCTTAATGAGTTTAACAAACTCACCTTAGATCTGGATAATGCTGGGGCAACTGCCTCAAATGAGGATCAAATTTTGATCCTCTTGAATTCTGTTCCAGATTCTTATAGGGGTGTAAAAGATGCTATAAAATACAGCAAAGGGGGAATGGACTTAGATGAGATAACTGAAGCTTTGAAAGCAAGGGAGGTTGAAATACTCTCCCATAAAAAGTCCCATGCTGAGGGGCTGGTTGTGAAGGGTAAAGGGAACAAGAAGGGAAAATTTAAAAATAAATGGAAGGGAAACAATAATGTATCCCAACCTAACCATAACACACAAGGTAATAAAAATAAGGAGCAGCCAAAAGGTAAACTTACCTGCTGGTTGTGTCATAAAGAGGGGCATATCAAGAAGAATTGCCCTGAAAATAATAAGGAAGCTGCAAAGGCAGCAACTAAAACTGAGTATGCAAATCTACTTAGTGGGTGTGAGGGTGCTGAAGTCCTTATGGTGTCTAATAAGGGCTTTGAGGCTGAATGGGTTATGGATTCAGGTTGCACTTTTCACATGACTCCTAGGAAGGAGTGGCTTGCTGGTTTAAGGTTCCAAAAGGGTGGAAAGGTCCTTATGGGGAATGACCAGGTCTGTCAAATAGAAGGGATTGGGGCTGTCAAGTTTCTAATGGCTGATGGCAGCCATAAAATCCTCAAAGAAGTGAGGTATGTCCCTGACTTGAGGAGAAATTTAATTTCTCTAGGTATGCTTGACTCAAGTGGGCTGTTATTCAAGAGTGAGCAAGGTTCACTCACTGTTCTTAAGGGTAGTGAAATTTTAATGGAAGGAAGATTCATTAATGGCCTGTACATATTACAGGGCCATGTTGTTTCATCCGAAAGCTGTATAACAGCAGCCAAGGATGATGAATCTGTTCTCTGGCATAAGAGAATGGGTCATATTAGCAACCAGGGTATGTCTGAGTTATGTAAACAAGGTATTTTAAGTCCTAAGAAAGTAACTTGTGTTGATTTTTGTGAAAATTGTATTTTAGGGAAAACACACAAGTTACCTTTTCCTAGTTCTTCAAATTTTTCTAAATCTGTCCTTGATTACATACACTCTGATTTGTGGGGATCATCTAATGTTCCCCTTTCTCTCTCTGGTTGTCATTACTTCCTTTCAGTTGTGGATTCATACTCTAGAAGAGTATGGACCATGTTCTTGAAGCAAAAGGATCAAG